TATTTGGTTTAGCAGTAGGTTTAGGAGGGATGAAAGTTGTTTTCCCTTTCCTTTTAGAGCTAGAGGAGTCAAACCCAAGTCCTTCACGACCCTTATGTTTGGTCGTTTCAAGAAGCTTATCCACTGCCTCTTTTGACTTAAGAGTCCCTAGTTCTTTGTTAAGGGATTTCACCTTTTCAGAGAGAGATTCATTTTCAGTCTTGAGTTGAGTGATCTCATTCAGTTGACTTTTCCGACCTTCAGTCAACTTGAGATTCTCTTCACTCAATAGTTTGTTCTCCTCTGTTAAGGAAGAATGTTTGAGATTTATCTCCTCAAAGTCTTTCATCATCTTTTTGAACTGGTCAAAAAGATTTTCAGAAGTTGGTATGCTTTCATAAGAAGATGAGCAGGAGGTTTGTGAGGTTACCTCTTGATCAGCATCATCTTTGGCCATTAGGCAGAGAGTGTCATCTTCTGACATGGTCCACCTATCCTCATGGTTGGACTTTTCAGCTCTGCGCTCCATGCAGACGAGAGCTTCTTCATCCGAGCTTGAGCTGGATGACTCGTCACTTTCAGCAGCAACCATTGCCTTCTTTTTCTTCTCGTTCCTTTCTCTTTCTCCGTACTTCTCCACTTTTGGGTACGGGCACGCTGACTTCCAGTGGCCGGGCTTCCTGCAATTGTAACACAAATAAGATTCAGGAGGAGAGTCACTTACCTGTGGCTTTCCCTTGGATGGCCTTCTGACTGAGTCAGCTTTCTTGAAGAACTTTTTGAACTTTCGGAATTGCTTGACCATCATGGCAAATTCCTCATCGTAGTTCTCCATTTTTGAACTTGACGGCTGGCTGGAGGAGGGTGTGTCACAGTTCCTTGGGCATGTCCCTTCACTTGATGGGACTCTTGGAGTTGTCATCAGTGCCGTGGAGAAGGGAGTGACTTGTTCCTCCTTCTTCTTCTTCAGCTCGTGCTCATAGGTTCTGAGCTCATCAAAAAGACCTTGAACAGTGTAGTTCTCCAGATTTCTTCCTTCTTCCATGGCTGTGGCTTTGGTGTACCACTCAGTTGGAAGAGATCTCAGCAACCTTACATTCTTTTCTTTGGGAGAAAGAACATGGTTAAGTGATGCAAGATCATTCAAGATTTTGTGGAATCTTTCATCCAGCATATCAAATGATTCTCCGGGAAGCATTTTGAAGCTTTTGAACTTCTCAAGCAGGACTTCTATCTTCTGCTTTCTCAAGTCCTCTGAACCCTCACATAGCTTCCCAAGACCTTGCCATATCTCCATGGCAGTCTTGAGGTGCTTAATTTTGAAGAAGGTGATGGGGTCAAGTGTTTTGAAGATGGCTGCTTTGGCGACGTTATCCAGATTGTGCTTTTTGCAATCTCTATCATCCCATTTTTCCTTGGGCTTTGGAATGTACTGGACTACGTCTAGAGTTGCTGGATTTCTCTCAGGATTCTCCATTTGGATTTTCAAGGGTCCATCCTCAAGCACCATCCACATGCAATCATGTAGAGCGTAAAGCTGTGCTTCCATCATGATCTTCCAATCATCATAACCTAGAAGAGAAAACTTGGGCAAACCGTGATCCATATTGTTCACCATTTTGATCGCTTCTCGTTAATCTAAATGTAGATAGTGAGAAGACCGCTCCGATACCAATTGGTGGTCCCAAAGTGGTGAAATACAAAGTCTAGAGGGGGGGTGAATAGACTTTGTTACAAGTTTAAAATCTTTTTCGTTTCTTTTGAAAATGAGAAAATGAGTGTTAATCTAGAGTCCTTGTGAACTTTAGATTGTGTGCGGAATTTGGTGGGTGGAGTGAACAGTAATTAATATGGATATGTTAGTTTTCACAGTTAATATAATTGCAAGTAAGAATAAAGATAAGAGAGAGAGAGACGCAAACTTTAGCGAGGTTCGAAGGTGGGGTAATCCTTCTACGTCCTCAAAATCCACTATGTAGTTGGTTGTTGAATAATGAACCAACAGTTACACTTGTGTGAATTTCTGCACGGTATATCTTCACAAGATCAATGTTGCTACTGCACTCGTGCTGGCTTTGTTGTTCCTTCGAAGGTCAAGCTTCTTCAACAACTGCAAGATCCGAACAATAGGACTTGCAAGATCAACTTGTAAGAGAGTTGACCTACCCCCTTTTAATCAATAAGTTTGATCAAAAGTAATATCCTTCAACGTGGTGTGGTGCTTGAGGCAAGGAAACCTTCAAGTGTTTACACTATAGCTTTTT